TATATAAATATAGATATAGATAGATAGTTAGACAGATAGATAGACAAATAAATAGATATAGATGTAGATATATAGATATAGATATAAATATATATAGATATAAATAGATATAAATAGATATATATATATAAGCCCTCTGAGCGCATGCACCCACCTCCTGAACTGGCCCACGCGCAGCCGTGACTGGCTAGCCTGGTTATTGGTTCGTGGTGTGTGTGATGAATGTGTCCTTGGCCGTGTTGTAGCTAAAGGACTTCTGGGAATAGGAATATGTGCACGTGGCGACACAGGTGTGCTGTTTTTCGCATCTCCGTCTGCGCCAATCAGATGCTCTGAATCTTCTTCGTCGTCACTCTCCCGTGCTGCGCTGAGCTCAGCGAGAGTGACTGTCTGCCTTCGGCTGAAACGAGTTGAATCTACGTCCGAATCACCGTTGCTAAGGTTACTACTAATGGATCCGTTCCGACGTGATCTTTCTGGTGCCTGCTGTTGCTAAAAGCAGTAGATGTTTGTTTAAAGATGGGGTGAAATATACAGAATCAATATAACGAGCATCACGCTAACGGTAAAATACACAATATACTATGGTACATTATAAACCCCCTCGACAGCTTATTATGACGGCTGTATAGCGCGTGTGTAAGAATACGAGGGAGAAGGAAGACCTTGATCGAACTAAAGCACTTCCAATTGGCTGATAGACAACTATGCGACATCTCAAAGCACAAATGTAACACACTGATCTATATATATATATAAATATATATATAAATATAAATATAAATATAAATAGAAGTATAGTTATATATATATATATATATACAATAAAATAATATGGTAATACAATAAAATTATATATATCTAACACTGGACATATAGTTGCCGGGATCGTCAAACGCTCAATTCCAGTAGTAGACCACGAACACATCACCGCCGAATGTCCACCAGCGCACTGCTGCCGATGTCAGGTGAACTGTATGCATGTGTTCACCATCCTTCACACAACGCACGTACGCTGCAGTGCAACCCTACGACCCTACTAACATACACTGACTTGTGCCTTGAGAAATACAAACTTACATTGCTCTGTGACTTGAGCTGGTCGATGGCATTATGAGCGATGACAGACATTTTCTTCGGAACCTTTTTACTGTGCGTGTGGTGACAATATTAATTTGGAGTTATTGATTATAAGTCAGGCAAAATTCACAACTCCTCCGAATAACAATTTTTGCACAACACTCAGGTGACTTCCGCAATTGCATGAGATTGACACCGTTGACACGTTGGCATGAGATTGACACGTGCACTGCGCATATATATGTTCAGATAGGCACTTCAAACTCCATGACTTATACGCACATCAAATGTACTGAGTACATCCAATGAGAGAGTCAGAGACATTGTCAATCAGCCACTATGCGGACAGAGCAGCAACCAAAGGTGTGAGAAACCTTAGTAGACGAAAAAAGCCTTGTCTGTGATATTTGAAGAATCATACCATACGGACAAGGCCAGGTTGTGGCTGGTGCACTTTACCTTAGTGTCCTGAAGAAGCCTTTGCTGAAGCTGCCCTGGCTGTCAACCGTCGCTATGCTTGTTCGGTCGTCTGGCATGAGGTCCACTGTGCTCTCCTCCACCCCACTGCCATTGGCGGAGGTGTCGTGTACACTCCGCCTGCTGAGTATGCTGAGTCTTCCTTGCATGCTGCGTCGGTTGTGTGTGTTGAGTTGCGCTGAGATGTGCGGTGCGACGGCTTCGGGGCGACCTACTTTGGACTTAGTCGACAACTGCAGTGGCAATTCAGGCGACACAGGTTTTAGAGTTCTTAGGGTTTGGAATTGGAGTTTTAGAGTCACAGTCAAGGGTTATGGGATTGGTTTAGGGTTTGGATTTTAGGGGTTCAGTTTGAGAGTAGTGACTGTAGAGCCACGCGGATAGGGATGGTCACGTGTGTGCGCGTCACAGCAATGTTCTTCTTTAAGACATCATCCAAATAAACGGAAATGTGCTCTCCTGGATACGCATACACATGTCAGGGTGGGTATAGGAGGAAATGTATGCATGTGAGTGTAACTGAAGCGCATACACAGGACAGGGTATAGGAGGAAATGTATGCATGCGAGTGTAATTGTAAGTGGGAGCAGGTACATCTATTAAGGATTGTGTACAAATACATCAATTGATAATGGAGTGCAAGGTACAACAATTTAAAATTGAGTGTAGATACATCATTAACGAATTGGGTGCAGGTACATCAATTAAATTAGGGGAAGGCACATGAATTAAGAGTTGGGTGCAGGTACACTAATTAAGAATTGGGTGCCGGTACATCAAATGAGAATTGGGTGCGGGTTCATTAAATAAATAATTAGATGCAAGTACATCAATAAAGAAATGGGTGCAGGTACATCAATTAAAAATTGGGTGCAGGTGCATAAAATCCATAATTGGGTGCAGGCACATCAATCGCCCATAAAAAAGCTGCAGTTGCCGGAATATATCACAAGTCTTCTGAGTTCCACTCATCTCTTAATATAATAATATAATAGTAATATTGCCTGAGGATCCATCCCAACAGTATAAATCCTACACAGTAGAACCCATTCCAAACTAAAACATGTAACTTCTGATGAATTGGTAGATGCATGCGTATATGGCTAAAGTGTCGTGTGTGCACATACCTTGTCGTAGTCGGGTAGTTTGTCTGTGGGTGGTTCCATAATTCTGATGTTGGTGAGACTGTCTGAGGGAGGGCATAGGTCACTGACTACAAAGGGCAGTGTCAACATCTTCTGCGCGCGCATCATCGTCCCAATGGAAAAGTCCATCAGAATGCGATAACTAATCTGCAAGAAAAAAACAGCCAATGATTAACACTCAGTTGAGAAGTAAACAGCCATTGGTCGACATTCAGTTGATAAGACAAGCAATTGAGTAATTATATACATACACCCACACACACCCACACACACACACATACACCCACACACACAAACACACACATACATACACCCACACACACAAACTCACACACACACACACATATATATATAAATATACATATTTAAAATAATGTATATATACATACAAAGATATAGATTTAGAAAAATATATAGGAATATATAAGTACAAGAATATACAAGCATATAAGAATATATAAGAATATATATATATATACACTTATATATAATATAAAAGTATATATATATATG